CCTATGAACCAGGAGGTCACGGTTCGATTTCCAGTCAGGGCACATGCCCGGGTTTCAGGCTCGATCCCCACTTTGGGTGTGCAGGAGGCAGCCGATCAATGATTCTCTCTCATCATTGATGTTTCTATCTCTCTCTCCCTTCCTTTCTGAAATCAATAAAAATATGTATATTTTTAGCCAAAACCGGTTTGGCTCAATGGATAGAGCTTCGGCCTGTGGACTGAAAGGTCCCAGGTTCAATTCCGGTCAAGGGCATGTACCTTGGTTGCGGGCACATCCCTAGTAGGGGATATGCAAGAGGCAGCTGATCGATGATTCTCACTCATCGATGTTTCTAGCTCTCTATCCCTCTCCCTTCCTCTCTGTAAAAAATCAATAAAATATATACTTTTTAAATATGTATATTTATAAAGCATAAAACTCTAAAATCCTTGATATCTAAGGATACATGCAAGTTAGAATTCTAAAAAAAGTTCACTTCACTGCCACTAAAGATAAAAAACAAGAGACATTGTTCCACAAGGTTTGTTATATAGAAATTCTAAGATATTGGAGAGATTTTCTACAAAGAAAAATATATAGAGGCAACATACACCATCCCTTCCTCTTGTGGAATTAAAGCTTAGTTAGAATCAGGCACACTCAAGTCTTGAACTTGGTCTAAAGAGGTTTGAGCACCTAACAGAAGCAAACATTAAGTCTTTTCTGGAAGAAGCACCTTTATCCTTGCCCTCAAATTATTCTATGAATACTTCATTTTAAAATATGTTTTTATTGATTTTAGAGAGAGGAATGGAGAGGGAGAGAGATAGAAACATTGATGAGGGAAAAACACTGATGGACTGCCTTCTGCATGCCCCCCAGTGGGGATGGAGCCTGAAACCTGGACTGTGCCCTGACCAGAAATTGAACCTGAGAACTCTGGAACCTGGGATGATGCCTAACCAACTAAGCAACACTGACCAGGGTCTATAAATACTTTTTTTTTTTTTTAATCCTCACCAGTAGATATTATTCCATTGATTTTTATAGAGTGGAAGAGAAAAAAACAGAAATATCGATGTGAGAGAAACACATCAATTGGTTGCCTCCTGCATGCACCACAACCAGAGCCTGGACTGGGGAGGAGCCTGCAACCAAGGTACATGCCCTTGACCGGAATCGAAATAGGCATCCTTCCGTCTGCAGGCCAATGCTCTATCCACTGAGCCAAACCGGTTTCGGCGCTGTTCTTTATTATTAAAAGTATTCATAGCCCTAGCTGGTTTGGCTTAGTGGATAGAACATTGGCCTGCAGACGGAAAGATGCCTATTTCGATTCCAGTCAAGGGCATGTACCTTGGTTGCGGGCACATCCCCAGTAGGGGGTGTGCAAGAGGCAACTGATCAATGATTCTCTCTCATCAATGTTTCTAACTCTCTATCCCTCTCTCTTCCTCTCTGTAAAAAATCAATAAAATATATTTTAAAAAATTTAAAACAATAATAATAATAATAATAATAATGAGCAGTACACAAAGATAACCAAGCACCAGAGAAATTAGATTTCATGGGTAATGACTAGTAGAAATAAACAAAAATAGGTCATTAAGGATTTCAGAAATTGAAGTTAAATACAGACTATAGCCGAAACCGGTTTGGCTCAGCGGTAGAGCGTCGGTCTGAGGACTGAAAGGTCCTGGGTTGGATTCCAGTCAAGGGCATGTACATTGGTTGTGGGCACATCCCCGGTAGGGGGTGTGCAAGAGGCAGCTGGTCAATGTTTCTCTCTCATCGATGTTTCTAGCTCTCTATCTCACTCTTTTCCTCTCTGTAAAAAAGCAATAAAATATATATTTTTTTAAAAATACAGACTATAGAATAACTACACTTATTATACTCAAGCATAAAAGGCACGTTTAAAAATAACTGCAAAGAAAGCTATTGGAAAATTACCAGATTTTTTAAATAATTAAGTAGAATTTATGGAAATACAATTGTAATAAGATTTAAAATCAAGGGAATAGCAAATCAGATTTAATTGAAAGGAGAATTAGAAATGGGCAAGTCAGGAAAAAATTACTCATAATGCAGCACAGAGACAAAAAGATGTAAGGTACAGAAGAGGTAATAAAAGGCATAAAGGTTAAAACGATAAGAGTTAACATACATTTAACCACAGTACAGAAGAAGAGAGAAAGCATGAAACAAATAGAGTATCTGAAAAGATAACAGCTGGGTATTTTCCAGAACTGTTAAAAATACCAACAGTTTCAACAAACCCAGTGAAACCCAAGCCAGATAAATAAATAAAAATTCATACTTAGACACATTGCAGTTAATTAGAGAAATATCGAGACAAAAATAAAATCTTATAAATAGCAGTGGGAAGTGATAATGGTGAGGAGGTGAGACAAAATGCAATAGAATTACTTTAAAGGGGCTCCAACCATTTGAATTAATGAACTCCAGCCTTTGTGTAATTCTCTGCTTTATTAAAAAAAAAAAAAAAAAAAAATCCTAGACAGCTTGCCAAGATTCATATAATGTAATCCAATAAAATAAATTTAAAACGAGATAAGGCAAAGAAGAATAGAAGAGGACAGTAAGCTGGATATAATACTAAGATTCAGTCCCCAAATGCATGCTATAAATTCCTATCTGCTTTCTAGAGGGACACCACAAATTTGGCTTTTAAGCATTTTAGCACCCATACAAAGAAGGAAACAATTATAGGATTTTCAATAAAAAACAACTAGACCCTCAGGGAAAACAACTATTTCTAAAGGAATGATAATTAGGATAATAATAAATAGCATTTGCCACCTCCTCTTACAATAAATAGAGATACTTTTCATAAGACCAAATGCAACTTCATAGGGAAGACCGAGGAATACCAATATGGAGGCTCAATCTAGGAGGAAGACTTTAGGGTAATGGATGGTCTGCATATGCTTCAGAAAATCTTTCATACATAAGCACTCTCTCAGGTAAGCTTCCGAAAGGAATGGCTTTAGGATTCTTTCCCTGACTAGTACCGAGGTGTAGGTGCTCTGTATAAGTAAATAGGTAGCAGAGCACACACTAAACTATCTACTAAGCAAGGGGCAGGGTAAGAGGCTCTTATGAAAACTGAGGAGTCAGACATCATTCCATCTGGACTGAGATTCAGAAAGTTCCTTAGCCAGCCTCATTACTCTACAAAGGAGGTGAAATGGCTCTACATTCTACAAGTGGCATTAATTGAAAAGAAACAAGATTTACTGGGCCTTTGTGGCTCACTGGCATATGCCCTGGCTGGGAATTGAACCATGACTTATAAATCAGGAGATGACAGTTCAATTCCTGGTCAGGGCATATGCCAAGGTTGTAGGCTGAATCCCCAGTCAGGGGAGTATAGGAGGAAGCCAATCAGTGATTCTCTCATCACTGATGTTTTTATTTCTCTCTCCCTCTCTCTTCCCCTCTGAAAGTAATAAAAACAATTTTTTTTTTTAAAAGGAAAGAAACAAGATTTATCTGACAGTCATAGCAAAAAAAAAAAAAAAAAAAAAAAAAATTGGCACAATTGATTAGGTTGGCAAAAATCAGTAAAGATGCCTACAAAGTTTTGAATGAAGAACAAATACTATAACAAAAATTGGACAGACAGCCGAAACCGTTTTGGCTCAGTGGATAGAGCATCGGCCTACAGACTGAAAGGTCTCGGGTTGATTCCGGTCAAGAGCATGTACTGTGGTTGCGGGCACATCCCTGGTGGGGGGTGTGCAGGAGGCAGCTGACCGATGTTTCTCTCTATCCCTCTCTCTTCCTCTCTGTAAAAAATCAATAAAATATATATTTTTTTTAAATTGGGCAGACACATTTTAAAGAAAACGAATGGCTCAGTTTTAGACAAAATGTTTGGGTTTGAATATTGAATGGAAATGTACAGAAGACATTTTCTAGAAGTTTCTAGAAATGTATCACTATAGGGGTTAAGGATAGAACTAAAAATTTAGAAATCAGTACACAGAGATAAAATTGAAGTCGATGAATAGTTCTAATACCCACACCACCAAAATCTCTTCTCCCCAAACCACTGCCCCACTGCAAACGAAAGAACTGGATCCCACAAGATATGCCACAGCCAGAATACACAAAGCAGGTTGTATTTCAAAGTGAGTCAGTGCACAGGGAGAATATTCAATACAGCTACATAGAGTCTGACTCAGAAAGATAAATGCACAACTATATATGCCATCACTAGAAATTAGAACAGAATTGCTCTATATGGCTCATTACAGAGAATGCCACAATTGCTCTATTTCCATTTTATTTTTATTTATGTATGTATTTATTTTTGCTAATCCTCACCCTATTTATTTATTTACTTTTGCTAATCCTCACCCCAGGGTATTTTCCATTGATTTTTAAAGAGAGTGGAGGGGAGGGGGGGACAGAGATGGAGGGGGGGAAACATCGATATCACATTGATTGTTTGCCTCCTGCAATTTCCCCAACCAGGGCCAAGGATAGAGCCTGCAACAGGTATGTACCCTTGACCAAAATCAAACCCGGGACCCTTCAGTCCTCGGGCCAATGCTCTATCCACTGAACAAAACCAGTTCGGGCTCCATTTTATACTTAAGAACACATTCTGTTTGAAAGATCAAATTTCCTAAAAATTATCAATTTGGGGGTTTTATTGGCTATGTCTGAAATTTTCCATAAGAGTTTTTTTAAACTTATAAAAAATTCCCTAAGACTTATCAAGTCAGGAGTGAAGACATACCTTTCTGTCTTTGAGCAGCTAACATCAACCTTCCTGTGATACAAGAGGCAGGAAGGAAGGACATGGTCATTTCTTTCTCATAAGAAAGACAAGATTAAAGATACACAAGAGATTATTAACTTCTAGAAAGAAGACACAAGAGTGTAAGAGATGCAATCTTCAGATACACCGTTGGATAGGTGTTAAAGATAGAAACTATAGCAGCTTTCTAATAAACTAATAAAAGAAAGTAAAAAAATAAACTTACTCTTTTCAATGAGCTGGTCCTGAACCCCTGCCAATGCACTTACTGCCTGAAAGAAAAAACCACTGGTTACAAGAAAAATTATCACAGACCTCAGGAGAGCACTCACAGACAGAGGGAAAAAGAAAACTCACAAAAATGCAACTGAGGTTATCCTAAATAATGGGCCACATAAAGATCCCCCCACTTCACTTACAGCTGCTGAAGTAACTGAAGATTTACTGAAGAGCCGCTCAGCTTCCTTGAACTTCCGGTTCCTTCGATCGTTTTTGCTATTGGAGTTTCTGAAACACACACAAGGATTCATTATAAGCACCAAGCTTTGTCTATGGCTCAAGCTGAGGATGTCTCAGGGAAAATGTAAAGAACTTCTTTGTTTTTGTAATTTATTTATTTTTTATTTTTGTTAATCTTCACCCGAGGATATTTTTCCATTGATTTTTTTTTTTTTTTCCTGTTTAGAATGGAAGGGAGGGAGAGAGACACATCAATAAGAGAAAGACACAGCAATTGGTCACCTCCCATAGTCGCCTGAAGCATGCGCCCTTAACCAGAATTGAACCCAGGACCCTTCAGTTCACAGGCAGATGTTCTTTTTTTTTTTTTTTTTTTTTTTTTTTTTTAATATATTTTATTGATTTTGTTCAGAGAGGAAGGAAGAGAGATAGAGAGCTAGAAACATCGATGAGAGAGAGTCATCGATCAGCTGACTCTTACACACCCCCTACCGGGGATATGCCCGCAACCAAGGTACATGCCCTTAACTGGAATCAAACCCAGGCCTTTCAGTCCCCAAGCCGACGCTCTATCCATTGAGCCATACTGGTCCCAGCCAGTGGGAGATGTTCTATCTACTGGGTCAAACTGGCCAGGGATCCTTTGTTTTTATTACTTCCACTCCACTTGGATTGACCAATACAACCTTTATGCCAAATACCTATGTAGACAGACAACAATTTTTCCCAACATATGGAATGTGCTCCACAGTGGTACATGAGACTGTTAGTTCATAATCATTTTCATATGTATATATTTTAATAATTTTAAAAACAACTAGCATAGCCGAAACTGGTTTGGCTCAGCAGTAGAGCGTTGGTCTGAGGACTGAAAGGTCCCAGGTTCGATTCCGGTCAAGGGCATGTATGTTGGTTGCGGGCACAACCCCGGTAGGGGGTGTGCAAGAGGCAGCTGGTCGATGTTTCTCTCTCATGGATGTTTCTAGCTCTCTATCTCCCTTCCTCTCTGTAAAAAAATCAATAAAATATATTTTTAAAAAAACAACTAGCATAGACTAGTGATATGAAGTGTCTGTTAAATAAACTTAAATCTTAAAATTTTAAAGAAAAAAAAAAAAAAAACAGGATTCCTTAGAAAAATGGTCTGGGACAAGAAAAGGAAAAGGTGACAGACAGAAAAAAGGCATTCAAACCTACAGGATCAGGTGAAAAGGACAAAGGAAATTGGCTTAAAGAGGCTCCTTCTGACCATGTTTGAGATAAAATAAGTATCAAAAAGAATGATGGGAGTCCTGGCCCTGGGCGTGGCCGGCGGCTCGGTTGGGTGAAGCATCACCTCAGACACCGACAGGTTGTGGTTCGGTTTCTGATCAGAACACACACCTATGTTGCAAGTTCAATCTCCAGTTTAGGTGCATACAGCAGGCAACTGATTGATGTTTCTTTTTCACACCAATGTTTTGCTCTCTCTCTCTAAAATCAATAAACACAGGCAGTCCTCAGGCTACGTCAGACTCAACTTAAGCCGTTTTGATGCCATCTCCCATTTACTTACAAAAAAAAAAAAAAAAAAAGTTCCATCATTTCAACATATGTACATATGTGCTTTATGCTTTTTATTACTTATTTACCACAAGTAAAGGTCAGGAATTGGTATCTTTCTTTTAAATTTTTTACTGTTTCACTTCATTACTGCTGTGTATGTGCTCCACGTGAGTGACGTAGGTGCTTATGTAGGTGAGTTACGGCTTACGGCGAAAATCGAACGGATCTCCGACATAACCCAAGGACCTACTGTATATATTTCAATAAATTAATTTATACTAATAAATAAACCTCTATAATAAAAAGTGACAGGGCTAGATCCCAACAGTAATTTTTTTAAATAAATATTTGCTATCTTTTAAAATATATATATATTTTTATTGATTTCAGAGAAGAAGGGAGAAAGAGAAAGACACATCAATGATGAAAGAGAGTCATTGATAGGCTGCCTCCTGCATGCCCCCCACTGGGGATCTAGCCAGCAACGAGGATATGTGTCCTGACCAGGGATTGAACCTTGACCTCCTGGTCCATAAGGCAACAATCACTGAGCCACACCAGCCGGGCCCAACGGTAATTTTTAAAAATCCATGAGTCGCCGAAACTGGTTTGGCTCAGTGGTAGAGCGTCGGTCTGCGGACTGAAAGGTTCCGGGTTCGATTCCGGTCAAGGGCATGTACCTTGGTTGCGGGCACATCCCCCAGTGGGGGATGTGCAAGAAGCAGCTGGTCGATGTTTCTCTCTCATCGACGTTTCTAACTCTCTGTCCCTCTCAAATCCTCTCTGGGTAAAACCAATAAAATATATTAAAAAAAAAAAAATCCATGAGTCTATAGTGATACAAGAGAGACAGAGATAAAAAGGATGAAAGAGAATGAAGATAGCCCGGCTGGCAAGGCTCAGTGGTTAAACATCAACCTATGAACTGAATAAAATGGTGGGGAGGGGTGTAGCATATTACTACTATCTAAAAGTATGAGATCCGAATTTACATGGTTAATTACAAAGAGAAGAAATAAACTTTACAATGGAGAGATCACATGATCAAACTTATCAGTACCAATAATAGGACAATCTGACATTATGTGCCTCCTGATAAAATAAACAAGAGGTACACAAATCACTAATGCACCATTTCTGCAAAAAACGTGTACGGATCTCCCATGAGGTAGCAAAATAAAACTCTGGAATTGGGACATTGTACGCGACAATGTCATAAACTTCCCCACCAAAAAGGGCAGAGAAACTCTCCTACATTAAGAGACTAAAGAGCCGGGACCGGTTTGGCTCAATGGATAGAGCGTCGGCTTGGGGACTGAAGGGCCCCGGGTTCGATTCCGGTCAAGGGCATGTACCTTGGTTGCGGGCATATCCCCAGTAGGGGGTGCGCAAGAGGCAAATGATCAATGACTCTCTCACATTGATGTTTCAAACTCTCTATCTCTCTCCCTTCCACTCTGTACAAAAATCAATAAAATATGTATTTTAAGAGACTAAAGAGACATAGCCAAACGCAATGGGAACTCTGAATGGATCAAAATAAGGCAGTAACACATGCGGAGGACAATGAGGGAAATTTGAATAAAAACTGTATATTAGATGATACTGTCAATGTAGTGCTAATTTTATTGGCATAATTGTGGCTAGGTAAAAACATGTTCTTATTTTTAGAAGATAACTGCTGACATATTTACGGATAATGTGTCATAATATCTGCTTCTAACTTTTTTTTAATCTATTTTTTTAAGTCTATTTTTATTGATTTCAGAGAGGGAGCGGAAGAGATAGAAACAACAATGATGAGAGAGAATCACTCATTGGCTGCCTCCTGCAAGCCCCCAACCGGGGATCAAACCTGAAACCTCTATATATGCCCTGATCAGGAATCAACTGGGCACCTTGTTGTTGTTGTTAATCCTCACTTAAGGATATTTTTTCCATTGATTTTTTTAAAAGAGAAAGAAGGGAGGGAGTAGGAGGGGAGGGTAAGAAAAAGAGAGAGAGAAATCAATGAGAGAGATACATAGATTGGTTGCCTCACAATGCGTCTGACGGGGATTGAACCTGCAACCCAGGTAAGTGCCTCTGAACAGGAATTGAACCCTTAACTCTTCAGTGAGCAGGCTGACGCTCTAACTACTGAGCAACACTGGCCTGGCACCTTTTGATACGCTCCAACCAACTGAGTTATACACACCAGAGAGGGCTCTTGCAATTTTTCTATACTAGTATATTTTAAAAATTTCAAAGTTCAGAAAGTTTTTGAGAATACTATTACTTTAAATAAATCGTGGTACAGTTGGTACCTGTGTCTAGAGGATGGAACCTATGTCTGATTAAAATGTGGAAAACACGAACAGAATGCTGTGTGTAAGGTATTATATGCTGTATTTAATTTAAACCTCACACACCCCTGTGCCATAGACAGGACTCCCCCTATTCTACAGATGTAGGATTTGTTTAGGATTACTCCGTGAGGCTGAACCAGAATCCAAGTTCAAGCCCAAACCTCTTTCCACATTACCACGTATTATACCCCCACCCTACAAAACTGCTACCAAAAAAATGTACAGTCTTAAAAACAAGTATTAGTAGGTCACCATACAACCACCACAGGTGTCTGACACTCACTTTTGGTTGGTCAGATACCTATCCCAGCCACGAATGATATTGCCATACATCTGGGTGTCTTCTAGGTAGCTTCCTTCAAAAGCATAGATCTGTCTCTCCAAGTTTGCCAGTGTTTCCTGCGAGGTGAAAAACAAGGACATGGAGAATGCCTTTTAAATGCAAAATTAGGTTTGACCAAACTGAAATCTTGCTATTAGATTTACAAATTCAAGCAGACATACGCTCAACCACCCTTGTGGAGGGACGGATGACATGGGGAGGAGCAGGCAGATTAAGAAAGTCTAGAATAGCCGAAACCGGTTTGGCTCAGTGGATAGAGCGACTGCCTGTGGACTGAAAGGTCCCAGGTGCGATTCTGGTCAAGGGCATGTACCTTGGTTGCGGGCACATCCCCAGTTGGGGGTGTGCAAGAGGCAGCTGGTCGATGATTCTCTCATGGATGTTTCTAAACTCTCTATCCTTCTCTATTCCTCTCTGTAAAAAAGTCAATAAATTAAAAAAAAAAAAAAAAAAAAAAAAAGACAGTTTAGAACTGTCCTCCTGGATCCCTGTGAGAACAGAATGAAGCAGAGCCTGTCCCGGGAAAAATGCATACACATGCACAGTTTGGATCTACTTCAGAGGGCTCATGGAAACCCAACTGTGAGGAAGCCTGGCGCATGCAGACTGCACTCCCATGCATCTAGGCATTGCTGGCGGGAGGGATGGGTGAGCATCCTCCCAGCGCCAGCCAACTGGCTCCCCTCCCCTCGGAGGCCGCCGGCGCTGGGTAGCCAGTTACCATGGAAACCTGGAAGGACAGCTTCAGGTGAACGAGCCTCTCGGGTGCCCACGCCAAGACTCGGGGGTGGGACAGGCAGGACTTAGCCACCAGGGCGCATGGGGCCCTGGGTGCACCTCACAATCCCCATTCCCCGGCCGGAGCCCGCTCCCTCGCCCGTCACCCTCCAGACGTCCACACACACACACACACACACACACACACACACACACACACACACACGTCGCATCCCTGCCCATCAGAAATCCCATTCACTGGGTCTGCTGGTCCCCAGGACGCCCGTCCCTCCCCCCTCCAGAGGCCAGATCGGACGGCCGAGCCCCCCTCCCAGAGCCGCCTCCTCCCCACCGCGCCAAACCCACCCGCAAGCCCGCACCAATCTGCTCCCGCCCGGCACGCCCGCCCGCCCGCCCGCCCTCCCCGCCCAGGCGCCGGCACCCGCCGCTCCGGGCTCCCACACACACGCCCGCCGCGCCCCGCGCCACCCTGCCCGCAGGCCCCCGCCCGCCCCGGCTTCCTCCGCGCCCCCGCCTCCGGCCCGGCTCCCTCCCGGCCGGGAAGCCCAGGCGCCGGCGGGCCGCGAAGGCGCAGCCCTGCCTCAGGCCGCCGGCTCGGGACCGCCGCGCAGCGCCCGCCAAGTAACGGCCTGGCGTGGCGGGCAGGCGCCCGGAGGCGGCGGCGGGCGCGGGGTCCTCCCTCGGGCTCCCCCGGCGATAGCCCCTCACCGCCAGCTCCTGCTTCCGCTTCACGAGCTCCGCCAGCTCCCGCCGGGTGTCCGGGATCTGCGGTGGCGCTGCCTTGTTGTGCATCGCCATGTTGGGCCGAGGCGGGCGGCGGCGGCGGCGCGGGGCTGGGGGCGGTCCCTGCACGCCGCCGCCAGGGGGCGCGCGCGCCGCACTGCGCCTGCGCGCGCGGCTTCCGGAACCGCGCGCGCCCCGTCTGGGGACCCGGTGATGCGGCTCTCTGGTCTTGGTCCAGGCAGTTCTGCCCCTGGTGGACGGTTTACCTTTCCAGGCACCGCAGTAAACACCGCGAGGACTCAGTCCCCCCCAGTAGCCCAAATCAGAAACCTTCCTATTCTCACCTCCTTCACACCTTAATCCTGTATCCTAGCCGCCCGCTGGGAGATCTCGCAAATCCATTTATTTCTGTGGGCCACCTATCAGGACCTCCCTATTGTTAACTGCATTATTCCAACAGACTTGTTTCCACACTTAGCTGCATTGAATCCATCATCCACAGGACCCCAGGATAATTGATTTTAGGAAACAGTGTTATGCCCCTGGCTTCCCATTGTCCTTTATCCAGACAAGTACTAAGAAATGCATGTTTAGTTTTTCAAAAGAGCCCATAGTATCTTGTTCAAAATCCTACCTCTACCACTGATATCTGCCACCTTGGGCAAGTAGCCAAATTTCACTTGTCTCAACTTCCTCATCTGTAAAATGGAGGTAAATATACAATTGCTGTGAGGAGCAAATCACTTGTCTGTCCAGGTTTGGCAAGTACTGTAATAACAATACCTAAGTGTTAGATTTTAACATTAAGTCCAGTCTTCTTAACTTTGTTTTCACTATCATGAATCTAAGTAGGACATTTTTCCTTCCTTCCCTCCCTCCCTTCTTTCCTTCTGTTGTTAATGGAAAGGGGATCTGGCCCTGTGAGAGTCTGCTTAGAGCCAGCTGGTAGTGTGTGTGTTCTTGACTTTGTGCAGGGAAGATTTCACAATGAGTCCAGGTGATTTGAGACTACAGGGTATTTTATTGTGTGCTTTAAAAAAAAAAGAAGAAGAAGAGAAGAGAAGAGAAGAGAAGAGAAGAGAAGAGAAGAGAAGAGAAGAGAAGAGAAGAGAAGAGAAGAGAAGAGAAGAGAAGAGAAGAGAAGAGAAGAGAAGAGAAGAGAAATAGTATCATTTGGGGGGAAATTTGGAAATAACTGGAGGGGAATTAAAAAGTCCCTCGAGCCGAAGCTGGTTTGGCTCAGAGGTAGAGCGTCGGTCTGCGGACTGAAGGGTCCCGGGTTCGATTCCGGTCAAGGGCATGTACATTGGTTGCGGGGTGCAAGAGGCAGCTGGTCGGTGTTTCTCTCTCATCGACGTTTCTAGCTCTCTATCCCTCTTCCTTACTCTCTGTGAAAAATCAATAAAATATATTTTAAAAAAATAAAAAAAAAATAAAAAGTCCCTCGAGTAATTTCACCTATTTCTAGACAACTAAAGGCAATACTAGTACAGGGTCATCTTAAATGGAGTTCAAGGCTTGATGTTTCCTGAGCTCCCAGGCTACAAATACGTGGGAGGATTCTATTTCGGATCTATTCCTTTACTCTGAAAATTACAGCCCTTTGGCATGCCAACTTTTCATATGAAACATCTATTATACTATCCATTGTATGTGGGTTTTGACTTCTATCTCATGCAACCTAGAGCAAGGTCTGATTTGCTAGTATCAAATATGTTTTGCCTTTAGATCAAATGTGGTTTCAAAAATAACTTAGTCCCTCATTATCAGAATCCAGAAGTCACACTCACCCTCTTCTCCCTAACTGAACTTTAAGTATTTCCAAAGCCTCATTAATTTACTACCTCAGGTATTTCCTAGTGCTAGTCTCTCTGTCTAGAAATCTGTATTCCTTTCTTTTCCCATCCCCACCGGCCTCTTTTGAATAACTTCTCACTCTTCCATGACTACTGAGGCTTTGTTGAATACTATTTCTCAGAGCTTCCGTAACTCCCAATGCTGCTTCTATCTAGCACTGTGTGTAGCTCCTGGTTATATTGTTCTGAGACCTTATGCATCTCATATCTATAAACAGCAATATAGCCCCAGTATGTTTGGCCCAGTGATTAGAGCATCAGTCCAGGGACTTAAGGGTCTTCGGCTCAATTTTGGTCAAGGGCATGTATCTCGGTTGCAGGCTCAATTTTGGGAGGCAACCAATCAATGTTTCTCTCTTTTTTAAAACATTTTTATTTGAAAGAGGGAGAGGGAGAGATAGAAACATCAATGATGATAATCACTAATCAGCTGCCTCTCTGCATACCCCCTACTGGGGACCGAGCCAGAAACCTGATCATGTGCCCTGACCAGGAATCGAACCTTGACCTCCTGGTTCATAAGTCAATGCTCAACCAGAGCCACATTGGCCAAGCCACTCTATCTTAAAAAAAAAAAAAAAAAAAAAAAAGGTGTGGGGGGCCTCCAATCAATATATCATAGTAGTTAAGAATGTGGCATCTGCCGGCAGTTTGGCTCAATGGATAGAGGGTCGGCTTGGGGACTGAAGGGCTCCGGGTTCGATTCCGATCAAGGGCATGTACCTTGGTTGCGGGCATATCCCCAGTAAGGGGTGTGCAAGAGGCAGCTGATCAATGACTCTCTCTCATTGATGTTTCTAACTCTCTCTCTCCCTTCCTCTCTGTACAAAAATCAAAAAAATATATTAAAAAAAAAAAAAAGGAATGTGGCATCTGCAACCAGAATGACTAGGTTTGAACCCATCCTACCTACAACTGTGAACATAACCTCTATTTCCATTTTCCAATCTGCAAAGTGAAACAATGAAAGAAGCCTGCCTCATAGGATTTTGAAGAAATAAAGTATGTGTTAGTGTACATGTAAAATGCTTAGAACTGTGCTCATACATAGAAAATGCCCCTAACTGTTGGCCAGTTTTATTGAGGTCTCAGTTCATAGCACTTCTGAGGCACCCAATTATTGAATATTTACCTATTTTTATTAATCAATATGATCATTTCCAAGCAACCCTGGCTATGACTTAGTGGAGTGAGGATTTGCCTGAGCTACTCTCTACCCTTGAAAATCCCACCTGCTGTGATTTCCTTGAATACTCTATGAATAGGACAGCCTATTTCTCTCAGTTCTTTCCACTAAACTCTACTAGGATGGTAAAAAGCAAGGGTCCAGGGGAAAGACCACTGAACCTGGACTAAGGTTCCTAGCTCTACCAACTTGCTATGCATCTTCAGCTAAACAGCTAAATTTTATAGGATCCTTTCCACATCCTCACTCCAATCCTGCTGTCCCTTAGACTGCTCGGTATAAAACAATGCCCTTCTCCACTACTGGTTCAAAGTCCACTTAGTCTCTAAGACATACCTTAAATGCCACTTCTTGCCCACGGTGCAGCCCGCCTCCATATTATTGCTCCCTGCTTATAACTTACAGTTGTAAAGCAAGCTTATGCAATTATTGTTTTAGTGAATTACTTAAACTTTAGAGTACATGTGAACAAATCAACTGTCATAAAATTGTTTAATAAATATACTGGAAATAAAGAATAAGAAAGCTTTAATTTAAATCAAGTAGCCCTTTCAGTTCATGTAAACTCACATGTCCAGGAATATTGTGGGCTCACAAGTAGGCAATGCTGGCATGTTGAGCGTGTGACCCTTTGATTAATGTCGTAACCTTTCTTCACATCCATAATTTTCCCCAAAGGGAAAGATGTTAAAAAATATTACCAATTGGGCAACATAGTGAATGATAATCAACTCAAAATATATAAGTTCTAAGCCTTTTGAAACCAAGCCATGTTGTATACTAATATACTCAATACAGTAACATAATTTTAAAAATTTTCCCGTTATCTGAATTGATAACTTTCACTTATCACCAGGATACAATATAAGTATTAAAGTTACCAGTTACGCCTGGCCAGCATGGCTCAGTGTTGAGTGTGGAACTATGAACCAGGGAGTCATGGTTTGATTTCCAGTCAGGGAACATGCCTGGGTTGCAGGATCAATCCCCAGTGGGTCAACCCCCAGTAAGGGGCATGCAGGAGGCAGCTGATCAATAATTCTCTCATCATTGATGTTTCTCTTTCTCCCTCTCCCTTCCTCTCTGAAATCAATAAAAATATATTTTTTACAAAGTTACCAGCTGCACTTAATGAGTTGTCCTTGGTCAATGTTAGAATGAGGGAATGAGAAGATGACTAGGGAAAGTCATCTTGATGGAGAAAATCTGAAGACTCTGTATCATACCTCTGCAGAAATGTATAACCACTGCAGAGGATTTGGGGAAGGGTCCCAGAAGCAAAGGGCTGTTTTACATATTACTCAATTTTGATAATAATTTAGACAAACCAACCAGGTAGGAGAAAAGCTAGGGAATGAAGAAGTTGCAAATAGCTTAGATCGGTGGTTCTTAACCTTTCTAAAGCCACGACCCTTTAATATATTTTGTCATGTTGTGGTGATCCCCAACCATAAAATTATTTTCATTGCTACTTCGTAACTGTAATTTTGCTAGCTATGAATCGTAATGTAAATATCTGTTTTCCAATGGTCATAGGCTCTACAGCAGTGATTTTCAACCTATGGGACCCACAGGTTGAGAACCGCTAGCAGGGTCAGACCATCGGAAAACACAGATATACAATTCATAACAGAAGTAAAATTACAATTATGAAATAGCAACGAAAATAATTTTATGGTTGGGGATCACAACATGAGGAACTGAATTAAAGGGTTTTGGCATTAAAAAGATTGAGAACCACTGGCTTAGATGAACATGAGTTTCTAAGCAATAAATACACTAAAAAAGAAAGCTTTAGGATTATGTAAACTTCAAATGAGAAGCCTGCTAGTTATTTGTGGCTCTGGAGATGAATGTCTTTTTTTTAACCTTCCTTCTTTAAAAAAAAAAAAAAAAAAAAAAAGAGGGAGAGCATCTTCCTAAATATTTGGCATGAAGAATCTCTTAATCCAGGAAGCAAATGTGTACACAATTGGGACCTCTTATTGAAAATGTAAGCAAAAATGGTCGTCACAGTGCCCACCAGGATGGCATCTGAAGCCCAAGGCCTCCAGGAAGTAATAGGAGTAGCACAAACTGAATAAGGAGGCCCTGAAGTGAGATGCCAGATTAGTGCCTAAAATCCTGAAAGACAAAACCATCAGTCTGGATAAACAGAATAATCCAAAATCCATCACAATGGAACACACCTTTTAGACATGCACATATGTAGTTTGTGATCTATGGCATATGTAAAAATGAGAAAAACAGCTATTACAGAAGCCCATGTAGAACACAGTGGGGATACGGTAATTGCTCTTACATGGTTATAGCTTCCCTTCATCTAACCTTTCATCTTACTAACCTTAAGTGTTCACTCTTCAAAGAGGATCTTTTCATTTCTTTTGAGTAAAATTTGCCAGCTGCTCCCCCGAGTACATATGGGTGAGACCTTAATGGAAAAACAATATAAAGACAATCTAATAGTATCGTTAAGTTTCAACCCAAGAGGAATAGTTAGCAGCAGCAATGATTGAGTTATACGATCACTCCTTTCTCTCCATCCCCACCAGAGGGTGAATTAGTGAGGGCAGGGATAAACTGGTACAAGGCCCACTATGCATAACCTGCCCCAACTCTATTATGGGAAAGAAAACCCCTTAACTGCCAATACAGAAAGTACTGCAGCTTCAACAGGACCAATACTCACTTGTCAAGATATGGGGCTGTATTTACAAATTTTATTATTTTTTTATCCCAAAAATACATATAAATGAAAACCTGCTCTTCAAATGCAGGTTGAGTTTACCTATCATGTAGCATTACATTTACATCACAAAACATCCTCATATGAAAATCAGTTGCAGCTCTTTCACACACAATTAGATATATATTTCACACTATATATATGTGTAAGTAGTTATGAATTATCTACTTACACAGACTCCTTTAGTGGAAAATTAGGAAATTCCCATGCTTTCCAGCCTTGGGAAGGTAAATAGATGTTTTTAAAAAGATGAAACATGTAAACTACACAACCTCCTTTAGACATGTACACAAGTTGTTAGAAAAATGCAAGGACCTGCCACATAAATAATAGTGTGTTTCTCAAAAAAGAGAAAGAGATTAACATTTGAATAAAAATGCAAAGTTGAAGAATAAGATGGTCAAAATTGTTCTGTACATGCTCCATGGAGAAATCAGAATTCTCTCACAGGAAACAGATCCTCGATGCATCTCAGCCTCTCGTGACATTAGATCGGCCCCCACTGGCAGTAGTCATGATGATCTTCCTGGACAGTCAAATGCTTAATCAGGCTCCTTAAAGCATCTGTTTAAGTCCAACAGTCAATAATGAGGTCATGTGGTAAATTCCCACCCCCCAAAAAAGAAGTGCAAAATCAACTTCTGTGACTCAAGAGCTCAACCAGGTCAAAGCTTTGGTATATACAGGAGGCTGTTTTGGTGAGAACCAAAGCTTAGAAAGATTCTGTTAAGGGATTTGCCCCCAGGGAAAAAAAAAAAAAAAAAAAAAAAAAAAAACCCAGTCCACAAAGCCTATAAATAAAGTAACTGTACAAAGAGAAGAAGCCACAATTCCCCTTTAGATAAGGGTTTATAGTTTCCTAGGCAGCAGTTCTGAAAGCACCAACTAAAGCCACAATGCTCCTACGAGAATACAATATATTGGTGAGACTGCTCTGAAAACATATGCCCACAGGCAAGGGGGTGATGTGCCACAGAAAAAAGTTTAAACAAACACGTGTTTTCTTACATTATGACATAAGCTGGTCAGCAACCGAGGAGAGACTTAAGGCAATAAGAGGCATTAAAAAGAGCGCCCGGTGCTCTTGATTCAATCACAAAGCCTTCGCAGAAAGGAAAGGTCTCTCGAGAGTTTGGGTTGTTTATTAGTTTGCTAGCTGTCAGATACTTCTTCCTCCTCCTCCTCATCCTCGTCCTCTTTCCTGTCTACTTCAGAGGTGTCAGAGGACTCATGAAGCAAAACATACTCTCTGCTGCTGAACCCAAATTTAAGTACATCTTTTTCCTTCAGTTCGTAGTATCTCTGTGGCTCAATGCGCTTGTTATTCAAGAATGTTCCATTGCCTGATCCAAGGTCAATGATGTAAGGCTTCACCCTGCGGCCAACTGTCCCATCAGCACGGGTGTATTCCACAAGCCTAGAAGAGATAAGAGAGAGAAACCTAAGGGGGTGAGGGTAGGTAGAGGAGGATATAGGGTGGATAATGATGAGGGGAGATTTGGCATAAGGTGATAAATGCACAATACAATATATAGATGATGTATTATAGAATTGTACACCTGAAACCCTTAATTTTATTAACCAACTAGAGGCTCGGCACAGGAAATTCTAGAGGGGGTAGGCGGTATCCCTCAACCCGGCCTGCACCTTCAAAATCTGGGAGCCCTCAGGGGATGTCTGACTGCCAGCTTAGGGCAGCTCCCCACTGCTGTGCTCACCAGCCATGAGCCCGACTTCTGGATGAGCAGCACTCTCCCTGTGGGAGTGCACTGACTACCAGGGGGCAGCTCCTGTGTAGCGTCTGCCCCCTGGTGGTCAGTGCACATAATAGTGACCGGTTGTTCCACTGTGGGTCGATTTGCATATTAGCTTTTTATTATATAGGATGTCACCCAATAAGTTCAATATAAAAAAAAAAAAAGAGAGAAAAATGTGGGCCAGATCTTGCTTCAGATCACTCAGCTTTTTGTTAACACTGTCTACATGTGGTAAATACCTGGCTTCAATACAGCTCAAGTTAAAACTCTAAGAAAGGAGAAAATACGCCCTTAAATCTAGAAATTAGGAGCAAGTTAAATAATACTTAGTAAAAAGGTGAGACCTGGTACTTGGACAGGAAATTCATGGTAGATCAAAGGTTAAAATATAGTCCCTACCAGGTAGCTTATTTGGTTAGAGCAATGTCCTCATATGTGAGGGTCATGTGTTCCATCCCCAATCAGGTTACTTATATAAGAATTAACCAATGAATGGATAAATAAATGGAAAAACAAATCAATGTTTCTCACTCCTCTCTCTAAAATCAATCAATAGCCCTAACTGGTTTGGCTCAGTGGAAGAGAGTTGGCCTGTGGACTAAAGGGTCCTAGGTTTGACTCTGGTCAAGGGCATGTACCTTGGTTGCAAGCACATACCCCATAGGGAGTGTGCAGGAGGCAGCTGATCGATGTTTCTCATCGGTGTGTCTAACTCTCTATCGCTCCCCCTTTCTCTCTGTAAAAAAATCAATAAAATATATTTATAAATAAATAATCAATAAATTTGCCATAATTACAAAAAATTTTTGGGTTGTTTATAATTAATATGTTTCTTTCACCTATATTTGAACTTATTTTATCTACCGTCCCAAAGGGAATAAAGCAGATTTAGACTTCAAAGTTAAGGGCACTTGCCAAGGCTGGTTTGGCTCAGTGGATAGAGCATCAGCCTGTGGACTGAAGGGTCCCAGGTTCAATTCCGGTCAAGAGCATGTACCTTGGCTTCAGGCACATCCCCAGTGGGGGGTGTGCAGGAGGCAGCTGATTGATGTTTCTCTCTCATCAATGTTTCTGGCTTCCTCTCTGTAAAAAAATCAATAAAATATATTTAAAAAAAAAAAAAAAAAAAAGTTAAGGACACTAAATTTGAGCCAGATTTCTATTATGGGGACCACTTACTAGTCAAGTCACTTGGCTTTGCTGAACATTAATCTTCTCACCTGTCAGATGGGGACATTAGTACCTATGCTATTCGCCTCACAGGATTGATGGATCAAATAATAGCAGATGTACTATGCAAACTGTCAAGATACAGACACAGCCAACACCTTTTCAATTATATTTCCATTTAACTCTCATAACAACCCTGTGAAGTAGGTAGAAACTGAGGCCAGAGAGTGGCTTGTCCCAGGTCAAACACCTGGCAAGTGGCAGTGGCAGGATTCCCAACACCAAGTTCAATGCTCGTATACAAATTTAAGTAATTATCTAAAAGGTAATTAGATTAATACTCCTTAATACAAATATTAGATATGAGGTATGGATTCTTTTGCATATACATGCCCACAAAACTTAGTAATCCTGAAACACTAGCTTCTGCTCACACTTGAGTTCCTTTCTGCAAATGTACTTACCTATACTGAAAGACTGCGTGCTGCTTGGAACAAGAGGGATGATCGATTGGAATGTCTGCAATACGGCGGTGTCGCCCCAGGAGGTAAGCGCTTTGTCGATGAATGTACATGATTGGAAGCACCTCATCATTTTTAAATGGGTAGAGACGCCACCGTTTTTTAGGGATACGTGCTTCAGGGGGCTCGCTGTATTTAATGACTACACCTCGGAAGGTGTTTGTGTCCTCAAGAAGTGCCCCAGAAAGTTCAAAGCTTGGCTTTTCCTTGACGGGCACCTCTTTGCTTTTGTTGTTGCCACCAGGTGGAGGAACCAACTCCTGAGACTCATTACCACTGGTACTGCCTTCATTCTTTTGGCGATGCTCCCGCCTTCGGGCATTATAAAACTCCCGCTCTGCTTCCTGAGCCGGCAGGTTCTGAAGGTCTCGATCACGTCCCTGAGCCAACCCACTCCCAGGTCTCTCGTTAGAGGTTCTCCTCTGGTGGGAGTGGCTCCTGTGCCTGCCTCGGTCACTACTCCTGGCTCGCCTGTGTTCCTGTCCCGATGATTCCCGGTGCTGCCGATCTTCCCGCTCTCTCCGGGGTGGATGATCCTCACGTTCCTGAAATTTGAACACATTCAGTAAATTCAAAGCAGTTCAAAATCTACGAACAAGCTACATTCAGAGAGTCATTTTTGATTTGAACTTTGGCATTCAAGAGCAAAATGCTGCCCAGCCAGTTTGCCTCTGTGGTTGAGCTTCGGCCTATGAACTAGGAGGTCATGATTCAATTCCCAGTCAGGGCATATGCCCAGGCTGCAGACTCAATCCCCAGCTGATCAATGATTCTCATCATTGATGTTCCTATCTCTCCCCCCATCCCCTTTCCTCTCTGAAATAAAAAAAAACAAAACACATATGTTTTTTAAGAATGCAAAATGCTCCACAGAAATAAGGTTATCAGTGGTGATTATGTTTCCACGCAAGGCCACACAAACTGTGTATTCCATGCTGTTGCCCAATTATAGCTCTAACAGTGCCAGCCCATGTTCAGAGCCCTAGAAACAACTAAAAAGAGATCATATACAGAAAATAGACTAACAAAGAGAGCTAACTAGTCACCAACAGGATAAATGTGCAAAGAGAAAGCTAGCTTTCTCACATTTCAACAGTAACAAAAATTATTCAATACCTTGGAATATACTTAAGAAATATGTAAGATCTGCCTGGGATCAATTGGTTGAAGCGGCATCCCCTGCACCAGAAGATCCCATTTACATTTTTACGTCTTGACTATATAAAGGTCACCATTTCGAGAAACAAGGCAGAGTATATGCCTATACTAGTTTTACAACTACAGGCGTATATTCTTTCATTCAACAAAAATTCACCAGTTTTGGGAAAATCCCATTGCAGATACGGGTGATTACATGCATAAGACTTTAGCAATGGTGAGAACAGGCTCTAGATTCAGACCCTGCACCAAAGCATCTCAATCCACTTACCTGCTTCACTTTGACTGTTGAGTGGTGAGGACTTCGGCTTCTGTTACTCCGAGGAGACTTGCTTCTTCTCCCTGAGGACTTTTTCTTTTTGGCTGGGGATCTGTTAAAAGAATGGTACACACAGGATTTTATCTCCATTTCCCTCCCCCATGTAAATTACCTTCGAATATCAGGCTTACCGACCATACAGACATCACATTTGTGAAGGTCTCTGCTTTTCTCACTGTAGGAGTCAGGAGCTTCGCCTTCCTAGCCCACAGTCTCCCCTGAGTTCCAGACCCACAGACATAACTGCCTACCAAACCTTCTCACACTTAGATAACATAACTCTTGATTCCCAACCCTCAAAACTTTTCCTCTCTCAGTCTTTACCATGTCAGTGTCACCACCCTCCACCTAGCTCAAGCCAAAAACCTAGAAGTCATCCTTGATCCTTTTTCCCCTCACCAGCAGCGCCCACACCCCTCCCCCACAGTCACATTCAATCCATCAGCAAGACCTCTCTCTTCCCTCTCCTACCTCATTCCAACCATTCCTTTTGATCACCACACTGGATGTTTTTCTATTTCTAAAACAATCACAATTGTCCTGGCCAGGTATCTCAAGTGGTTAGTGTGTCATCCAAATACACCAAGGTTGCAGGTTCCATCCCAGCCAGGGCACATACAAGAATCAACCATGCCGAAGCCAGTTTGGCTCAGTGGATAGAGCATCGGCCTGCGGACTGAAAGGTCCCGGGTTTGGTTCTGGTCAAGGGCATGTATCGATACCTTGGTTGCAGGCACATCCCCATGGGGGGTGGGGGGTCAGGAAGCAGCTGATCGATGCTTCTCTCTCATCGATGTTTCTAGCTTTCTATCCCTCACTCTTCCTCTCTGTAAAATAATAAAAAATTAAAAAATAAAGAAACTCAAAACATATTAAAAAAAATTAACCACTGTATGCATAAATAATCAGAACAACAAATCGATGTTTCTTTCTCTCTCTCACCCTCTCTCTCAAAAATCAATCAATAAAAATAAATATGATTGCCGAAGCCGGTTTGGCTCAGTGGTACATTGGTTGCGGGCACATCCCCGGTAGGGGGTGTGCAAGAGGCAAGCTGGTCGATGTTTCTCTCTCATCAACGTTTCTAGCTCTCTATCTCTCTCCCTTCCTCTCTGTTAAAAATCAATAAAATATATTTTAAAAATAATAATAAATAAATAAATAAGATTATCACAACTGATTCCATTACAGATTCTTTGCACACACTGTTTCCCCTGCCTGAGTCCTTACAAGGTCAGATTAATCTTATCATTCAGGTCCGCTCAAATGGCACCTTTTCAATGCGGCCTTCTCCCACTTCCCTCCAAACTCTATCACATTAAATATTATAACCTATTCGTAATACTTGTTATAAACAAACTTTTTTTTATTTGCTAGTTATTTTGTCTCAGGGTCATAGGACATCAATTCAAGAGGGTAATGTCCATCTACATTTTATTTTATTTTATTTTATTTTATTTTATTTTATTTTATTTTATTTTATTTTAGAGAGAGGGAGGGAGAGAAGGGGAGGAAACAAAGGTAAGGGAGGTAGGGAAGGAAGAGAGAGACATCGATTTGTTGTTCCACTTACTTATACTATTCACTGGTTGGTTCTTGTTTGTGCCCTGACCCGGGATCCAGCGGGAACCACACGAGGCTCTAACTAACCGAGCTATTGGGTCCCCCTTTCAGACTCAGTACCCAGGGCAGCTTTCGACACATAATAGGTATTCAGTAAAACTTTGTGGAATGAATAAATGAACCCGTCTAGCAAGAGACCACCCTAGGCACTCCAAGCGGAAACCTTTTGGGGCCGATCATTAGAGACACCGCCCACACTCTATTTGCAGGCAGACGAGGAAAACCTTCCATTTCAACTTATAAAAGGATCTTTGCTGGCCGCTAAGTGCTGGGCACACAGGCATAAAGAGGTGGGATCCTGTTCATTAGGCTCCTAATGCCCAGCGACAACGCCAGGAACAAGTAAACAATAACACCAGCCCCGCCGCTACTTCCACCGCCGTCGGATTCAGCCCAAGCCGCTGCGCTCTGCATTCTAGGTGTGTGTGTGTGTGTGTCTGAGGCTGGCCGGCCCACCCCGGCGGCTCCCCACTTACCGGCTACGTCTCTGCGCTCGGTTCCCGCGGTGACCGGGGCGGCCAGGCTCGCCGGCTGGCGGGGACGCGCTGCCGCCGGAGTCCGGGCGGCGGTGAGCGGGAGGCGCGGCCTCCGGGCTGAGGCGTTCCTGCTTCACCACCACCATCGCCGCCGCCGCCGCCACCGCCGCCACGTCCTCGTCCCGGTGCCGGCGCCGGCTGCCCCGCTCCCGCTCGCTCTTCACCTCTTTCATGATGAGATGTCCACGGAGCGCAGGGAAAACTCGGCCGTTGCGCTCCCCTCGCAGAAAGGAAGTGACGTGCCGGAGCCCCGGACTTCCGCTCTGGAAGTACACGCTCTCCCAGAAACCCTCGCGATACCGAGGCTAAGCACGTGACGGCGCTGTGGTGGGCGGGGCCGTCAGGACGCAGTTCGGGTGGCGCGAGTTTTAAGTTTCAAACACCAACTCCCGGGAAAAAGCGACGCTCCCAGCGGTCGCCGCGTCCTTAGTATATTACTTCCTAAACCCGGAGACGACCTAAAAGCTCAGCAGTCGGGCATTGTTTAGTCAACTGACGGGTGTTATGTCGCCATCTGCAATGCTGTCTACAAACTCCATTATGACAAAAAAAAAAACCAAAAAAAAAAACAGGCGTTAAACGAAAGAAACAGATACACACCTGTGCGCAAACTGTGCTTACATTTGTGTGGAAATACGAAGACAAGAAAAGAGTAGATCATAAGATAATATACCGTGGGCAAATCATTGGTATTTCTCCAACTGTTGTGTTGTCTTTTCGCCACTTCATTAAAAACAAATGATTTTTAAAACCTGGGGACTCCAGATGTCTTCCTCTATGATTCCCACTTTGCAGGTGACAGAATCGGGAGTCACAAAAAGTGATCTGCCACCTCGTTCAAATTGCGAGCTAAGCGTGGCACAGAGGCCCGTTTTCCCGATTCCCAAGAGTAGAAGAGCGACCCGTTGAGCAGGCAGCCGGCCGGCCAAGCTAAGCAAGGAAGACCCTTACCCGGATGCTGCGCCGAGAGAAACTCGCGCGATGCTGGCCCCGCCCAACTCCAGAGCCCCGCCCAGGCCTGGAGGCTGGGAGAAGAGGTTTCCATGGTGACAGTAAACAAGGCCCTGCCTTTGAGGGGCTATTGCTGGGCTACTCGCCGGCACCATGATTCCCCCCGCGGACTCTTTACTCAAGTATGACACCCCGGTGCTGGTGAGCCGGAATACGGAGAAACGGAGCCCCAAAGTAAGGATGGGTTTTAGGGGCAGGGGAACCCGGAACTCCTATGGGGAAAGACAGATGCCTGTGTTGAAGATCCGGAGTCCCAAGGAATAGAGGCTGAAACAATTGAGAGTAAAGAGAATTGGGATATGAAAAAAGAGGATAGGAGAGCGGAACCAGAAGCCCAGATGCTGGGCCACTCCAGAGGGTAAATTTAGGACGGGGAAGGAAGTCACAAGGAGATGAATGGGATTCGCCGTTTTTTCATGGTAGTCGGTGCAAGAATAGATCTGGTAGTGAAAGCAGACGCCTGAGCACCTGGGCCAGAAACATCGATTCAGGAGATACAAGCGTTGGATTGGGCTGGGACCAGAGACTCTTGGCCTCCTTGCGCTCTGAGACTTAACTTCTGCTGAGAAGACAGATGGGGAGAGTGTGTGGGAAATCTGGAGCAAGGCCCAGAATGTGTGGTGCTTAGTATCTGAATCACTTCCTGCCCTAATGTGTCTCTTCCTCCCAGGCTCGGCCATTGAAAGTCAGCCCCCAGCAGCCTGGACCCTCAGGTCCAGTCCCACCGCCACCCAAGTCCAAGCTCTCAATTTCATGTGTCCCAGATCCTACAAAACAGGCAGAAGAAATCTTGAATGCTATCCTGCCCCCAAGGTGAGAGAAAAAAAATTTTTTTTTTAATAAGCAGGAGTAGTGGCCCAGGCTTTTGCATCCCAGAACTTGAGAACATGCAAAGAGGCATGCTGTCTCTGTTTCTGGCAATCTTTCCTCCCAGTGTCTCTGAGTTCCTAGAGCTTACGGATGGCTGGATCCTGGGAAGGTGGGGCTACCTTGTTCTCTGCCTATCCTCATTTCCAGAGTGCTCGTGGCTTTAAATGCCATCTATGTGTGGAGGCTCCCAAGTGTATATTTCCAGATCTGTCCTCGCCTCTAAACTCAGAGCCATATATTCTACGACTGCTTTACTACCTTCATGAAGAGGTTAATAGGGCACTCAAGCCACCCATCCACTGGCTCAACATGTCTAACCCTAGCTGGTTTGCTCAGTGGATAGTGCATCGGCCTGTGGATCGAAGGGTCTCGGGTTCGATTTTTGGTATAGGGTATGTACCTCATTTGCAGGTTTCCCAGCCCTTGTAGTGGCATGTGTGGAAGGCAACAAATCGATGTCTCTCTCTTGTTGATGTTTCTCTCTTTCTTTCTCTCCTTCTTTCCTCCCTTCCACTCTCTCTAGATATCAATGGAAAAAATATCCTTGGGTGAGGATTTAAACACACACACACACACACACACACTCAACATATCCAAACTCATAATTTCTTCCTTACCCCAACCTGCTCATCCCCTCTTCCCTTTCAACTAGGGGCTCAGGCCACATCTCATCCCTCTTGGTCTTTCACATCACAGATCCTCTCCTTTATCGATTTCTTTTGGCCCTGTCTCCCAAATCAGACCATTCATCAGCTCTTTTTCCATCCTCTTGTTTGTAGTCACTGCTCATCACCTGTACCACTGCAGTGGCCTCCCACTGAAAACCTGGCTTCCACTCTTTGTCCCTACAAGCTATGCTCCACAGAGCCCCCACATCATAAGTCAGACCATGCCAGGCTTCTGCCAGAAACTCATGGTTTCCCATCTTACTCAGACTAAAACCCAGTCTTTTCAGTGGTCTGTAAGACCTGGCATGATCTAGCCCCAATATACGCGGAATCTTATGTACCGTTACTCTCTTTCTTGTTCACTATGCTAATGGCCCAAAGGCCACTGCTTGCTGTCTCTGAAACACTTCACTCTTCCACCTCAAGGCCTTGACAACTGCTATTCTTTTTTTTTTTTGAAATATATTTTTATTGATTTTGTACAGAGAGGAAGGGAGAGAGATAGAGAGTTAGAAACATCGATGATAAGAGTCATCGATCAGCTGCCTCTTGCACACCCCCTACTGGGGATATGCCCGCAATCAAGATACATGCCCTTGACCGGAATCGAACCCGGGACCCTTCAGTCCCCAAGCCGACGCTCTATCCATTGAGCCAAACCGGTCTTGGCGACAACTGCTATTCTTACTGCCAAGGATACTCCTCCCCTAATATTCACCTGGTTCCCTTCCTTTCTTTAATCTGGTCTTGCTCAGCCAAAACTGGTTTGGCTCAATGGATAGAGCATCGGCTTGGGGACTGAAAGGTCCCAGTTCGATTCCGGTCAAGGGCATGTACCTTGGTTGTGGGCGTATCCCCAATAAGGGGTGTGCAAGAGACAGCTGATCGATGACTCTCATCGATGTTTCTAACTGTCTCTCTCTCTCCCTTCCTCTCTGTACAAAATCAATAAAGTATATATTTTAACCTGGTCTTGCTCAAATGCCATTTCTTCGAGGGGGACTTCCTTGAGAAGCCTTATAAAAGAGCCCCTTCTCCCTCCATGATCCCCTTACTCTGCTGCTTTCTCCTGCAACCACATTTATCACTGGCTGACGTGCCTCTTCCACTGTTTTTTATATAATACATTGACAGCACAGTTTTTAAGGCTTTGGTGAAAAGAGAGGCTGCAGTTTCCTCTCAGATGGACGTCAAAGAAAGGGGAGGGGTTGGTTTTCCTGTGGATTCCCTCTCTCCCATGGTGATTTTGCCCTTAGGCTCCCTCCTTGTGGTTCTAGAATCTGGCCACGCCTCCGACCCAAGGTTTGCTTTGAGGAGCTACATGCCTTTAAAAACATCCCTACCTCCCACTGCACATACTCACCTCTTTCGGACTGGCACGAGGTTTATAGTGCCCTGTCTCCCACCCCACACGTCAGGGGGCAACTTCCACTGGACCTTCTGTTCATATCAATCAACAAACCATACATTTGTCCTCAACACATCGGGGAGGGTAAGATCTGGAACATGGGTGATGATTTCACAGAGGGCTGTGGGAGAGCGGAGCCTGCCCAGCTTCCAGGTAGGACCCCTGTGTAGGCAGCTGAGTGGTTGTGGCTTTGGGGCCACACACTCCCTGAGAAAGAAGGAAGGATGGGGGATTCTGATGGGTTTGTGACAGAGCTGCCCCTCACTCCTGCCCAGGCAGAGAGCTCGGAGGGTCATCTCTGCTCATGACATGAGCACCCTCTCTGGCAATGGGTTTCTCTCAGCCTGGCTGTGTCTGTGCCGCAGGGAGTGGGTGGAAGACACACAGCTATGGATCCAGCAGGTGTCCAGCACGCCCAGCACCCGGATGGATGTGGTGCACCTTCAGGAGCAGCTGGACCTGAAGCTGCAGCAGCGGCAGGCCAGGGAGACTGGTATCTGTCCTGTCCGCAGGGAGCTCTACTCACAGTGTTTTGGTGCGTGGCCAGGGGGAAGGGTACACTACACTCTACTACCTCTTTCTCTTCCGCTTCAGCACAGCCCCAAGCTCCGAGTCCCCCTGAGCTGAAGCCCACCCCATCCTGGAATCATCTGTGCCCCACTACCTGTCTCCCCCCGGATCTGCTAAATGCTCCCTCTTCTTCCTCCCAACCCTGCCTTTCCCACCAGTACCCCCCCTTGCCGGTCAACCTGATAACTTGGTTCCTCACCTCTTAGCAGATATTGGAGTAAATAAGAACTTCCATTTTATTAATATATTTTATTGATTTTTTACAGAGAGGAAGGGAGAGAGATAGAGAGCTAGAAACGTCGATGAGAGAGAAACATCAACCAGCTGCCTCTTGCACACCCCCTACCGGGGATGTGCCCGTAACCAATGTACATGCCCTTGACCGGAATCGAACCTGGGACCTTTCAGTCCGCAGACCGACGCTCTACCACTGAGCCAAACCGGTTTTGGCAAAACTACCATTTTAAATCTTTGGGGTTTTTTCCCAACGATTTCTATAGTAAGCATGTGTTAATTTTTTTAATCAGAAAAATTAATGTGCTCTATTCATATCCACCTATCAGCAGTTAGCCCTTGGTCCAGAAAACACGTCAGGGTAATTTGTTTTTAACAGACAGAAGGACTTCAGTTCTCCCTCCTCAAGTACAGGTGTGAGTGGCTGTCTGGCCTCTGCCCACTATCACTGGCCCACATGGACTCAGACAGTCAAACCACCTCCCAGCCCTGGGGCAGCTGCAAGGGCTACAAGCTGCCTGCGGTCTGAGTGTGACTGTGGTTTGTCCTCCAGGACAGCATTTATGGAGGAGAGGGGTGGGCAAGCTGTAGACTGCGGTGTTTCCCAGCCCCAAACCAGTCCAGCCAAGGAGACACGTGGGATTTCCCAGCTACTTTAAAGCAGCCACCATCTTCAAATAGAAAAGTTGTGTTTCTTTGAATAGTCCCCAGTTCTTGGCTGAAGATGGAAGAGAGGGGCCTCATGCTGCAAGCAAACCTGGGGCTCCTGTCTCCCTCTGCCCTGGGTTTGCCCACTGCACAAACTCCCAAATGCCAAGTTCAGAGCAGTGGCTACATGACAAGGCTCCTGGGACCACGAAAGGCCCCTGCCTGAGATCTGTCACCAAGTGAGGAGGACAGCGTTCCAGTAGGAAGGGTGGTTTGCAGTAGGCAGGTGTATTTCCCCTCCTGCCGACCTCCTCTGACCTCTGTGTATGTGTGTGTGTGTGCATTGGAAGATGAGCTGATTCGTGAGGTCACCATCAACTGTGCGGAGAGGGGGCTGCTGCTGCTGCGAGTCCGGGACGAGATCCGCATGACCATCGCTGCCTACCAGACCTTGTATGAGAGCAGCGTGGCGTTTGGCATGAGGAAGGCGCTGCAGGCTGAACAGGGGAAGTCAGACATGGAGAGGAAAGTGAGTGGGGTTTGCACAAGCCTCTGGCCCTCTGGACTCCTGTCTCAGGGACACATGGTTGTCATGCTGGCACTAAACTCTGGTCTCTTGGGATGCTCTCCATCACTTGAGCGAGGACCCTTGGACCAGAGTGTAAGGGTTGTCGCAGGGTTGTCTCCTCTTGGATATGCTGTGTGAGGCACTGACCTCCCACTGGGTGGCAGTACAGACCCTGGCAATGTCTTGGGTTGGACAGCTGTGTTCCAGGGCCCCTCCACAGGGCCCCAAAGCCACCCCATCCGCTTGGCAGCGTCCCAGGATGACTGGGGTTCTGTCCTCAGATTGCAGAATTGGAAACAGAAAAGAGAGACTTGGAGAGGCAAGTCAATGAGCAGAAGGCAAAGTGCGAGGCCACGGAGAAGCGGGAGAACGAGAGGAGGCAGGTGGAGGAGAAGAAGCACAATGAGGAAATTCAGTTCCTGAAGCGGACTAATCAACAGCTGAAGGTAATCATGGCACAGACCCCGGTGGAGGTGCACGCCCACCCGCCCTCCAAGCCACATAGGCCAAGCATTTGGTTCTTTTTCCTACGGAAGACTATTGTAAAATCCTCACCGGAGGACAGTTTTTCATTGATTTTTAGAGAATGAAAGGGAGAAACAACACACACACACACACACACACACACACACACAGAGAGAGAGAGAGAGAGAGAGAAACATAGATGTCTCACATGGACTTGTTGCCTCCCACATGCCCTGGCCGGGTCTGGGGATCAAACCTATGACCCTTCAGTCTTAGGGCCAACACTAACCACTGACCTAAACTGGCCAGGAGTAAAGAAAGCTGATTTTTTTTTTTTTTTTGGGGGGGGGGGAGTAAGGGAAGAAGAGGGTTCATTACCTGGATTCCCCATTCTTCTAGTTCTGGAGGAGGCTCAGTTCTGAACCCCCATGATCCCTCAGCCTGGCTCTCCAGTGCTTTTTTTCCCCTTGGAAACGTCTTGGGAGACTTGGATATAACAAAAAGTGGAACTTCTTCCCTAAGGCAGCTTGTGATCTGGCCCTACCTAGAGTGAACGGAGCTCTCAGCGAGCTTCCTCAGGATTGCTTTCCCACCTGCAGTCAGTCCCCACCTAGACCCTGCATTTGGGGCAGGCAGGGAAGGCCCTTTGAGAGGGAAGAACCATATGAAACCAGGATGTGTGGTCAGAGGAACTCGTGTTTTTCCTCAAAGCCCGCTTGCAGATGTATACTTTTATCCAACTGAGCTGGACGGAAGGGAAGGAGGGGGGCTGGTGAAGAAAAGGACTGAGCAGGGGCCAGGCCTCTGAAACTCAATGCTGTTTGGTCCAAACGTTCTCAAAAACTGGGTTCCAGCCCTGACCAGTGTGGCTCAGTTGGTTGGAGCATCATCCCATACATTAAAAGGTGGTGAGTTCAATCCCTGGTTGGTGCATATGGGAAGGCAACCGATCAATGTTTCTCCCTCACATCAATGTTTCTCTCACCCTTCCCCTTCTCTAAAATCAAGAAGAATATCCTCAAGTGAGGACTTTTAATAAAAAGGTTGGATTCCAGACCAGCATTATTCTCATCACAGATGATTGGGCCTACCCCAGACCCACCGAATCAGAAACTTTGGGTTTGGGTCCAACAATCTATTCTAACAAGGTCCCCAAGTGATTCTAATGCTGGCTCCAGCTAGAGAACCATTGTTCTGGACATATGGCTTATTGACATTTAGTGGCTGTCTCCCATGGCCCTTAGCCAGAAGGGGCCCCTGAATTTTTCTCGCTCGCTCTCCACCCTAGTCTCATAGAAAATTTACATTCTTGGGACCGGCAGGCTTGTTGGCACTACAAACCAAGACAGGCACTTGAGATAAAGAAGCGCTTGTATTAGCGGCTAGTGCTTGTGCAGGATGACATGGATTTTCTTGTTGCTGAGTTTAACAACAGAAAAGCTACATTCACTGCCAGATGTGCATGTTTACTTAGCAGCCTCTGCAGCTGCCTCCCTTATCTGCCGCCCTCCTTTATCCTAAGCCCAAGTTCCTCAGTTCCTCTATAGTAACTGGCAGCAAGAGCAAAGCAGAGCACCTTGGCATCTAACATTAACAAGCCACGCTGTAATCTCCAGGGTGAAGGACTCTTTAGAAGTGAGTTATTTTTATTGGCTCAAAACGGCACTGCAAATAAAGCAGTGTTTGCAGTCCCCAGGATAGACCTACTTAAAAGATCTGTCCACACACCATGATAGTAAATTATGTTACTGGCTGCCAGAGGAGCAGAGCAAATAACTCCCAAGTGTCTTCGGCTCTACATGCAAGACAGACAGCTCCCTACTCACTGGTAGCAATTTTCTCTAATTGGGTGTCAAGTTGTCTCAGTGGCTGAAAATTTGCTGTTTCCCAAACCTCTTGTCCCAGCACAGAGCTCCCAGGATCCCAAAGTTTAACTTAGCAGACATATTTAGGCCTGAAATCTGAGCCATGAAAAACCACTATTTCAACAACTTTGATTCAATTTCCTTTTCAATGCTTTATATTATGCACTGAGCCATTATTGTATGGAAACCAGCACAGCTCTGGTTTCTCCTAATGTAGCAAGACAGTATGCCAAGCCAGAAACCAGCTAATCTAGAAAATATGGAGTTGGGAATGAGGGGGTGAGAGGGGAGAGGGAGATGTGTGGAGTGGCAGCATTGGGATTATCCTTCCCAGAGACTTTTATCACCTCTCAGCTATTCGTGTTAGGCTGCAAGTTTTAAATATTAATGAAGTTTCTTTTTGCTTTGCAGGCCCAACTGGAAGGCATTATTGCACCAAAGAAGTGATAATTTCCATATGGGTCCACAAACACTACTACCCCATCATCGTAAGCCCTTTGTAATAAAAGCTAGTTTCCTAAATGAACAAAGCCACACGCTCCCCTGATCACCACCTACGTATTTGTCGGAAGTCACAGTGTCATGGAACACTTAAGTCTGGCAGCCAGGCTCCTGGCTGGCCAATGGAAGGCAGTGAGGCCCAGGCAGCCCGTCTCTGGCCAACCTTGGGATTTGCCAAGTCAAATAGTAAGACTTAGCATTTACCCCTTTTTGCTGCATCCCTCTTAGGTGAAGCAACTGCTTTCTCATCACTGATCCTAGCAGGACACAGCTAGTTTCATCCCCTTCTGGGTCCACAGTTTGTCTTACCTAAATTGGGCTCCTCTGGCCTCAATTGTTCCCTTATTTGATGTCTTTTCACCATCCTGGCTCACAGTTCTAGTAACTCATTTTGAAGGATTTATACTGTATAAATTGTCAATTGGACCCCTACCTTAGTTTCAGACTGCCTAGGTGAGAAGATAGTGGCAAACCCATGGCTTTTAAGTAAATGTTTCCTGGAAAGAACTCAGTGTCTACAGTGAACGGCTTATACTTCACATCTTCCCCCAAAACCCATTTGTTCACTTTCCTCTGCTGAAAATCAAACCCTGGCCCTACATCCCTCTAAGTAGCTAAATTTAGTTAACAATGGGAGAGGTGCCCAAACCTACCTGCAGTCCTAATTACTGTCAGGCTGTGACCTACTGCATTTTACTATTCCTCTTAAGTTAAACTCAAAGTCTGGAGGCGCAGGACTCTTCTGGCTTTGTAGACCCAGTCTACGTAAGCGGCAAAAATCTTTTAATTCAGGGCAAACCAGGGAGGGTGAGGGCAGCAAGCTGTGTGACTTCAGCACCCTCAGCTGGAATGTTTCTCAGCACTCTGTATTCCCCTGGAAATGTGAGGAGGGCTCTCGTAGTGGAGCCTGAAAAACCACTATTTCAACAACTTTGATTCAATTTCTGAGCCATGAAAACTAACTGCCACCATCCTGGTAGGGTTTCCAGGCTTCACTGACTAACTCCAGACCAAGAGCTACCTTCAACTTCCAAGTCAAACGCCCCCATTTGAGTCTCAAATTTGAAGGCCCAGCTTCCCCTTGTCCAGGGTCTTAGTGGTTCTAAGACTCCCTCTGCTCTGCATGCTGTCTTTTTCATGGGAAAGAATGCCACTCACTGAGATGTACCAGTGCCATTCCTCCTTAACAGTATAGCACGCATATCCCAACGGGACCCACCTACCAATGAGGGGCGAAAGAAGCTGCGGTAGCCTTTTCTTCATATTTTGAAGCTCAGGCCATGCTCACTACATCCTTGAAATTTTGTTCTTACTGTTCTATTCCAATAGCTTCTGTTCCATAATGCTAACTGCTGGGACAAAAAAACCACCCTTCCCATTCTATAGACATCATCTCTGTTTCTATTAGACATTTACGTGACAGAGCTTCTCTCTGGAGGAACCACACGGCTGATCCCAGTGTCGGAAATGCCAATGGATTCCATCGCTGAAATTCCTGGGGCTGGGGGCTGGCACTGGTGAATGGTTTCAGCTGTCAAACCTCAGAACAAATGCCTTAGAAATGCCAATTGGGCAGGAAGAAATTGAACATTTCTAATCCATATTTTTGTATAATTTAATAAACAGCTTTTAAAAAGTTACTGCTTATGTTTGAATTTTTTGTGTTTGTGCTTCTGTCCCTCTGAGTCATTGGTCTTCTTTTTGTTCCTGTTCCTATTTTTCACGTTGTGTGTTTCATAGTAGCGGACACCAACTTTTCTGGGCTGTTGCTTCCGTGCTGCTCGCCTCCGCTGTAAAAAAGGGCAAAACAAAAAAGGCAAACCATTCAAATTCTGAAAATCACAAAACAGGCCCCCATTTCTTTGTGCTCCATCCTCACGCCACCTCCACAACTACTACCTTGTTTCCCCGAAAATAAGACATCCTCCGAAAATAAGACCTAGCACATGGAAAGATAAGACATCCCCTGAAAATAAGACCTAGCACAACTTTGGGAGAAAAAAATTAATGTAAGACACTGTCTTATTTTCGGGGAAACAGGGTAGAAGCAGTCAGTGCTAACGAAGGAGGGTCCATCTCCCAGACAAAGTTTGTGCTTCCACTGTGATTTGTGACAAATCCAAGTTACAGACTCAATTGGCCAGCCCTCATCCAATGTTTAGATCTGTTCTATTGCACTCCTGACAAGCTCTCCACCTCCCACGAGGGCCCATTCCAGCTCTGTAGAGCCCAGTTACGGAGCTAACTTTACAGGGAGCAGAGATCCGTCTGCCTAGTAACAGCTCTGCTCACTGTGTCATTTCCACGGGGCCACATAAAACCAACTGATGCTTCCAGAAGATAGGCTACGTTTGAGGACAAGATCTTCATCTACTGGGCCAACTTTTGATCCTATTAACTGTCTTCAACTCCATCACTTGGGACTGGGGTTCCTTGACCTCAACTCTAGGCCATTAGTTTCAGAAAGAGTTCCCCGTAAGAACAAGCTCCTCCTCTCTACTTTCTATACCTGGGTGATGCTTAAGATAAAAAACACATACTTCCTTAGATGTCAGCATCTTTCGAGATTTATTTGAATGTTCCTCTTCCCTCTGTGCCTTCCTCTTCTTTCCCTTTTTGGCAGGTGCTAGAAACATTGAATACACACATACAAGTTACAAATGTGCCTATGAATCCTAAGACGGGAAGGAACTTGAAGCGCTGGAAGAAGGAAAAAGCCAGAGTGAATGAGTATGGCCAGCAAAGTGCAGAGTGAAGCAGGATGAGAAGATGAGGGCATCAGGCCAAGAGTGACACCTCACAGGCCGTGGCAAGGTGTGCATTCATATTATGAAAACACACTCTTGATTTAGAAACTGTTAGTCCAATGCAATAAAAAATGCATGAACCGCCGGGACCGGTTTGGCTCAATGGATAGAGTGTCGGCTTGGGGACTGAAAGGTCCCGGGTTCGATTCCGGTCAAGGGCATGTACCTGGTTGCGGGCATATCCCCAGTAGGGGGTGTGCAAGAGGCAGCTGATCGATGACTCTCTCTCATCGATGTTTCTAACTATCTCTCTCCCTTCCTCTCTGTATAAAATCAATAAAATATATTTTTTTTTAAAAAATGCATGAACCACCTTGCCTACCACAAAAATAAAGTCTGCCTGCAGACCCACCCTTAAACTGTAAGGCTAACCATGTACCCTGTTAAAGAGGGTTTTCTGAATTATCAATTTAAACCTAAGAAATGTGCAGAATGAAAAATGGATAATTCCATTTGTATTATAGATTGTGAAACCAAGGTAATTTGTCAGGATATAAATAATTGTGTGGAAGTGATCATTTGAGATTTAGAGATAATTTGAAGATTTAGTTTGGATTTCCTAAAGATGCCAATCAAGAGATAATTTGGCCTTGGTCAGTTTGGCTCACTAGATAAGAGCGTGGGCCTAGGGACTGAAGGGTCCCAGGTTCGATTCCGGTCAAAGGCATGTACCTTGGTTGCAAGCGCATCCCCAGTAGGGGATGTGCAGGAGGTAGCTGATAGATGTTTCTAACTCTATCCCTCTTCTTTCCTCTCTGTAAAAAAAGTCAATAAAATATATATATAAAAAAAGATAATTTGAAGATTTAGCTTGAATGTCCTGAAGATGCCAATCACATTTAAATGATTTAATAATTTAACTCTACCTGTATCTTCCACATCATCTTCAGCTGTTGTTTTTTGCTCTTCAGATTTTGCAAAAACCATTTCACTTAGTCCCTTGGATATTCTGAAACAGAAAAGCAAAATGATGAAACTGTCCGATGTTCCCCTCCACAGCTCAAGCCACGTGCTGACTTGAGACAGACTTACAGGTTAAGACAACCCACTTACAGGTTAAGTTACCACCACTGGTAGGTAGAAGGCAACACTCCAGTTTTGCAGCTCCCTGAGCATTTCTAAAAAAAATATTGAAGCTTCTCATATTTTAGGGAGCTGAATTTTGAAAACCTAACAGACCACTTTTTAAAACTGTGCGCAATACCCCCTAACTCCCCATCCCCATAAACATATCTCTAGTGCTCATGGCAAGCTTCTTGGAAAGAGAAGAGCAGACTGCAATTTGTGAGATGAAAATACCTGACTGCTGAGAACTTTTTCGCTTTGGCTTTGTTTAAAAACTTCTGATATTTAGCGATCTTTTCATCCAGGGCTTTAATCACTGCCTTGGTGTCGTTTTCCTGGTGTTCTTCCCGGGACTCTGAATACTCTTCCTCCTCGCCGCCCTGTTGCTCCTGTTCCTCCTCCTCCTCCTCTACAGAGCTCTCTAGCTCCTCATCTATATCTGACATCTCCAAAGGAACCAGGTCATCCCCAGAGAACTCAGGTACGACGTTGATTTTGCCGAAGTTCTGCCGAACCCGCGCAAGGATCTGCTGCATCTCTGAGCTGGCATCACAGGGACTGTTCACTCCTTTTTCCTCCTCAAGGACAGATTCTGACGCTTCACCTACAGTTTCCGTGATGTCCTCTTCTGGGTTGTTCTGGGTTGTTTCAGTGGCAGTTTCCAAAGATGATGAGGATGGAAGCTATTCAGCCAAAAAGTGGGGGAGAGAAATGAGAAAAGAAAAACGGAATTTCTGAATTTATACCTTGCTCTCAAATGAGGTAGTCCTCTTCTTAGGACTAGGGGGAGTGTGAAGAACACCCAAATTTGTGTCATATCGCTATCTATAATAATAAAATTCAATATGCTAATTAGACAGGATGTCCTTCCTTCCAGACAAAGCCAGTATGGGGGCTGAGGCAGAGGCGTCACAGGCCCCCGGCCACAGTGGTGGCTGGTGGGGGCCGGGACCAAGGCCCTTGCACAAATTTCGTGCACCAGGCTTCTAGTCTATTATAAACCAATGTGCAGTAAATTCAGAACCCAGCATTAAAGATTAAAGAATTATATTTGCAGTTCCAGAGCAAGAACCC